GACATTGCTGTGGGATCCAGGCCCTCAGCTGGATTCTTTTGGTCTTTGCTGTGTGGACAGATTTCCTGCACACCTTTCTGCTTGACTCTGGGTAACTACCATAAAATAATCCTATAAATATGTGTCCTGTATTAAATTGTTTCCTTTGCAAACCCTGACTACAACAGGTGGCCAGGTCTACGCTGCAAGTAAGCTGAGGGGGAAATGGAAGTAGGAGAGCAGCAAGGAGGCAAGTGCCCTTGCTGAGGGTGGAGGAAGGCAGAATCCAGGGCTGAGGATGTGTCTCTGTGGTGGAGCATTTGCCTGCCATGTGCAAGGTCTTGGGTTTGATCCCTAACACGGCTGGAAAAAGAAAGGCAGAGACCATCATGGTGTACTAACTGGGACTAACTAGGACTAACGGGCTGGGTGATCAGAGATCACCCAGTGAAGTGGGGACAGTGTGGAGAAGTGTCATTCAGCTCCCATTCTGGGCCAGGCAGCCAGGCTGAGCACTATGAAGGAGATCTGGGGTTCACCAGGGAGACACCCACACATCAGAGGTGCTGCTGCATCTGGAGCCCAGAAGGAGGGACTAAGTCACCTGTGGAAGAGGACAATCAGCAAGAACTTGCTTTCCTGGCTGTGGATGGGGACAGCCACACCTGCTTCCCAGGAGGCCACCTGAGCCAGTACCCAGGAAAGCATGTCGAGCAGGTGTTACTTAGTAGAGAATGTAAATGGTTAGAGGCTAGACAAAAACCTTTTGGCACAGGTCCAGGACTGGGTCCAGGACTTTTAGATGATGACAGGCCCCCCAGACCTGCTACCCTTCCACCATCCATCAGTGATCAGGGAGATGCCCCAAGCAAGATGCCTCAGAGTGAGCCCCCAGGTGCAGCCAGGGGCAGTTGAGCCCAGTGAGCCCAGGGTTCACTGGCATCTGCTTCTCTCCAGAACAACTTGCCTGCCCCCTAGTGGACCTCTGCAGAGTCTCTCCGACAAAAAAGAGGGACCACAGGACTCAGTTCAACACGGTCCAGATGCTGATGAGGAGACTGGAGCCTTGAGCAGAAGGTACATGTGCGAGGGAGTCCAGGCAAGAGACAGCAGTGCTCTGGCCCTCAGGAAGGAGCCTTGGCTCTGGCATCTGGGCCCCAGGTGACCGGAGCAACACATATGGCTAGGGGTCTCCTCTCAGAACCTTGGTTCCTCATCTATCAATAGGAGGAGGGCACACTCCCCGTGACGGCAAGGATGGCTCCCAGACTGCATACAGCAGGCGCTCAATACATGTGGCCCTGCCTTCCTCCTCTATATCACCTAACTTACTATGAGAGTGTAAACTCCATTCTAACTGTCTTTTGAGCAAATCCAGACTTCCATGCATTTAAATTCTTTAAATCGAGGTTCACTTGCTGTGGCGGTAGCCTTCCTCCTCCCCTGACCTGTTATATTTCTTCTCCACTGACCTTTGCTGATCAGATACTAGGATCACAGAAAGGTGGTTTAAGGTCAACCCTGCCCTCAGGAAGCCCCCAGTCTTCCAGGAGAGGCAAGCTAGACCACAGCTAGACAGAGTGGTCAGAAGGGTCCAGGTCCAGGGGAGGTGAACCCTTTACGGCACCTGGGGGTGGAAGGGAGGGTTCAAGGAAAGCTTCTTGAAGGAGGTGGTGAAGGAGCAGAGGCTCGGGAGAGAGAGGAGGGTTTCACCAGGAGGACAGGAAGCAGGGGTCTGGGAAAGAGCATCCCAGAACTGGAGGGAAGACAGCCATTGTGGCATGAGTGGTGGTGAGGAGGGAAGGCAGCAAGAGAAACCATGGGCTTGTATGTTCACTGGGCATCTGTAAGTAGGGTTCCAAATGTGCACCAGAACAGATGTAGAGGAACAGCGGAGGAGAAACTGGGCGGACGACTCAGGTACTGGCCTCACAGAGCCTTTGGGCTGATTCATTCATTCATTTGCTTATTCATTAGTTCATCCTCCAGTACCTGCCTGGCCTGGGCACTGGAATGAACAAAGGCTTGTCAGACATGGTGATTGCTGGTTCATTCAGAACAGGGTGGGAAAGCATTTCAGGAGAATGTGGCTTTTAGGCAGGCTTCAGCAGGTGTGTAGACGTTCACTGGGTGTTGGACAGGGGCTCAGGTCATTTGGGCAGAGAAAGCAGCAGAAGCAAAGTGGTGGCACCATAAGGGATGTGGGGAAGACTAGGGACTGTGACCTGGCCAAAGCATGGCTGCCTTGGGAGTGGCGAGGTAGGGCCAGCTCATGTAGGCCTTTGAAGACCAGGTTCAAGAGTTTGGGTTTTCCAGGGACCCAGCCCCAACAGTACCCACCTAAAGAAGCAGCGACCAAGTGATTCTAGGTAACCTGGCCCTGTGAATACCCCCCAGAAACCTATGGCCCCATCTGCTACAGTGAGGCCACATCCCCTAGAGATGGCAGGAGTGTCCCACCTCAAGGGAGGAAAGGCAGGCCCTAGGCTGGTGGAGATCTCATGGATGTCGTGAAAGTCGTGACTTGGGCCTCTCTCCAACCTGGGCACATGTGCAGACTCCCATGTGAATGGTGAACTAACTCCTCTCCAGAGCAGCAGCCCAGCTCTGGGACCTTCCTGAGCCTTGCCAGGGAGGTGCTATCCTTACCCTCATTCTGCAGAGGACAGAACTATGCGGCCATGAGCCCACCTCCCTGGGAGCCTTTCAGTGACCTTTGCTCTTTCTTTCAGCTTTCATGGGTACTGTTGTGTCTGTCCCTCGGGTCAGGAGGCAGCAGACAGATGGGCAGGGACAAGGTACCTCACCCCTCCCGACCTCCATCTTCATCGGAAAGTGATCAATAACTCCTGTCTCCAAGGGTGGTGTGGTTGAGACATTAAGCATGGAAGCCCCTGGCACATGGCTGGCCTGAAGCAGCCAAATGGGAAAGGATGAGGCCCAAAGCCTCCCAGCTGGGACATGATGCAGGCTCCAATGCGTGCTGGCCTGTTTCCCTCATCCCCAGGTAGTTTAGAAAGCTAGGAAGGGGACCCCACGATGGAAGATCTAGTTACCTGCAGTGTGTCAGCTTTGGAGCCCTCAGGTTCTGGCAGGAGCCTCTGAGAGTGGAGTGGCCTTGGCCCATGTGTGTAGCGGCTCTTAGGGTGGAAAAGGGGTCAGGCTGCTCCCCAGGCTACACATCTGGAGGGCCTAAGAGCTAAGCCCACAACTGGATCCAATCCAGTGCACACACAGATACATGATGTGCTACTACTCCTATACTAAGGTGCCGGAAGACACTCAGGCACATGACACACACAGAGCTGGGTGCGTGCAGACACAATGAGGTCCACAGATACATGCATATAGATGTATGAATGCACATATGCACAGATGGACAACACAAGCAGATACTGCAGATATACAAAGGCATACAAATACCGTGACAAGCCACAAATACATAGGCATAGGCACGAGCTCTTTGCTACCTGTTTGGTAGTGGCCCTTTGAACTCTGATGTAAATGTATATAATGTACACACAACCACACAGGCCAGTTCACAGAGGCCCGAGTGCCTAAATCATGTCTGTCCCATGCCTCTCAGTTAGTGTAACTTCAGCTCCTGCCCTTTTTGTTCTAACAGCAGCTATAAGGCAGGCAGGGCAGGATCTGGTTCCTACTGTGTAGTGAGCATCTGCAGGCCTAGAGATGTCAACTGCCTGCCAGCCACATCACACACGCATGGAGGGAAAGCTCAAGGCTGGTTTAAATTTGGGGCTCCTGAGTCTGTCCACAGCTATGGATTCTCACAGGGTACGCACAGCGATGGATCCAGAAGGCCCTCATCAGTCCCCAAAACAAATGTTTGTGTCACAGATGAGAAAATGGAGCCCCCAAGAGAACATTTGCAGGCCTGAAGTGAGCCACACTGAGAGGCCAGGGAGAAACCAAGGCTTCCTTCCCCATACTGCTCTATGGCTGTACCAGATGCACAGATATGACCACACAAAAGCCGTGGGCGCAGGCCACAGACACACATGCGGGTCCACCCTACTCAGTGGCCTGCAGGCTCACAGGACGAGATGTGGTGTTTTCCATGGGCCTCACTTAATTCTCACATGACATGGGAGGCGAGCGTGACCAGATCCATTTTGTATTTGAGGAAACTGAGACATAAAAAGATTAGGCTCAAAGTTGTGCAGGTAGGGACATGGTGGCATCTTCCAGAGCCACGTGCACACCTTCCTTACCTGTCTCCTGTGCCTTATGTACACTCACTCACGCACACAGGCATTCTGGACTCAGGGTACAGCAGCCCCCAGAGAGAACATGTTCCAGTAACCCTCAGTTCAAAGCGAGAGTGTTGTTTCACCCCTCTCAAGAGTCTTTTGAACTCTGAAATTACCCATTGGGGTTAGGTGACCACTGTTTGGTGTGAAAGCCACTTTAATGAATTGGTTGTGGGGTTTTGGCATTATTGTTCTGTAAGATATAAGTCTCATTTTCCCAAGAACCAAGGGATTCTCAGCCTCCCTCCTCTACTCTGGACTTTGGGCCAAGGCCAGGACTCCCTGTACAGTGCTCCTAGACACTGATGGTTTGGGCTGGCTTGGGGAGGGCAGGGAAGGAGGCAGCTCACTGTGCATTTCCTGTGGGCCAAGCTCCCTGCTAGGGGCTTTAAAAATCCTCCCTGTGGGCCTTGGTCCTCTGCTGAGCAATGGAGCAGCGATCCCATGGCAGGAGTAGTGAGCTCCCATGATAACAAGCTCTCTGTGTCAAAATAATCTGTCTGGAATAAAGCACTGTGTGGAAGGAAGTGAATATTTCTATTTTGATTGTTTGATGTAAGAGAGAGGTTTACCCCTAGGATTTGTCCAGGAACCCCCGTTAGTATCGCTTGCGGGCTCTTATTAATGAGCAGGCAGTGGCCACTAGGGACTCAGCAAGAGTCTTCTGTGGGAAGTGGGACGGTGCGTAGCGGTGGGGGGCAGCACAGGAGGCTCAGGCTGGCGCAAGCGTTGTCCCATCCTGTCTGCTCCTCAGTGCGGGGCTGGGGCTTTGCCTGAACTCTGGGGCCCACTTGAGCCCTGGCGAGCTTTGGCGAAGGCTGCCTTGATTTCTTGGTTTATGAGGTCCTGCCAGGGGTCTCTGAGGAAAAAGGAAAAGCGAGAACTATAATCCATCCCCCAGAACAACAAACAGTCTTGGGCATTCAGAGCCCGATGTAGAGCCGGTGAGTGACTCCTTTCTCCTCTCATATATCCTGCCCCCACAGAAGCCCTGCCCTGGGCACACCTCCTCTCCCCACCTTTGGACCTTAGGGAACTGATGCCCTGACAGGTGCCACACAGAGGACTCCTCAAGCGCACACAGAGGATGCATGTGTGGCTTCTGATCCAGTGACCTCTCAGGACATGGGAAGCCAGCCCCAGCTCTGTCCCTTACTCTGGATGTGATCTTGGGAGGCTGGGAGGCTCTGGGGCAAGGGCTCTGTGACTGTCTGGGTGTTATGCAAATTATTGTAGGGTCCCTGGATTCCCATCCTGAATATACTTTCATTCTCATTTGCTGCCCCTGGGTTCCTGGAGCAGGTAGACCCAGGTCATTGCCTTACATAGAGAGCGAAGCAAGGCTCTGAGTGACAGCCAGGGTCTCATACCAGTTGGGAAGGGGACAGTTTTTTTTTATTGTAGTGCAGCTAATCTCCACTCTCCTACCCTCTTGAACCCAGATCCTCACACATGGTATGCAAACTCTCTACCACTGGGTTATATCCCTAGTCCTAGGGGCACAGAGAAAGAGCCTGGTCCCCAGGAAAAGAGGGCCAAGAAGGGGCCACCTTTCAAAGTGTCTGTGACATGTGGCAGAGGCACTCCTCTGGGCTCTGCTGCTTGGGTTGGGGGCTACCTGAGGCATGGTTGGGAGGGACTTGTCTTTTTCCCCTGACCTCTAGCAGGCTCCTCAAACATTCCCAAAGAGAAAGCTAAATAACTTCTGCAGAGATGAGAAATGCTTAAGATGAAGCTAGAAGATCTTTAGAAAATTTGACTTTGAAGAAGACTCAGGCTGTAACTTTCAATTCAGGTACAGTTTTGATAAGTGCCTTACCAGCCCCAAGACAAATTCCCATCCTGCTGGCACCAAGGGCCCTTCTGAAGAGATACTGTCTGTCTGTCTATCTATCTGTCTGTCATCTCCAGACAAGCAGAGGGGTATGTGGCATTGTTTACATGCACGTACATGCCTGGTGGCCATCAGATGCAGTGTGTGTATGTCCATGTGTTTTTGTACCTGTGTGTATGTATGCATGCAGGTGGACCCCTGAGAGCTCATGTACAGGATCTGAGTACAGAGTCTCCCTGCCTGGAGGTCTGGGGGAGCTCTCAAGTCAGGTGATATTTGCTGCAACTGATCTCCACTCTCCCTCCCACCTGAGCCAAGAAGATGAAGCCATTTGTGGCACTATCTAAAGTTTCTGTTTGGGAATGGAAAAGTCATCAGCTGAGAGAGCTCAGGATGACAAGCGGCTGCCAGATCTGCACTTTCCCGGTCCCAGGATGATGTGGCCAGGGAAGACTTGACTTTCCAGCTGCAAAGACAGAGGTGGGCTGGAGGGTGTTGTCAGAATTCACATTTCCCCCTCTATTTTCTTTAGAAGCCACTTTGAAGACACCAAAGTATAGTACAACAACTCTTGATAATCTCCTACCTCTTTTGTCTGTAACTCACTATTATTTGTCTATTTGTTTTCCTGAGAAACTATTTTGTAGACAATAATATGTAAAATGATAACCATCGATAATTTCCTACCATTTTGTCTGTAATTTGCTAAGTCCCTCCTATTATTATGTTATCCTTCTTTTATTCTTTAAAATTAAAAAAAAAAAAAAAAAGAATTCACATTTCCTGGGTACCAGGCACCAGTGGGTTGGTGTGCAGGTGTCCCGGCTGTCCAGGATGTCAGGGCACTTACAGAGCATGGAGACTTCCATGAATGCACCAACAAGGAGTATCAGGCAGTGCTATGCAAGCACTAGGGAGGCTCTCACCTGGGCAAGGATGGACGTGAAGGTGATGGCAGGGCTGTGTTCAGAGTGTGTGACCAGAGCCACCTCTGATAGAGATGGCATTTGAGCTAAAACCTGCATGATAGGAAGGGGCAGGATGCCCCAGGTGTAGGGAACAGGAAGGCCAGATGTGAGCAGAAGTAAGGAGTATTTAGGAAGCAACCAGGAGGCTTATGTGTGGATGATGAGCAGTGGGAGGTGGCAGAGGCACATGGCCACCAGTCAGGTGTGGTCAGACTCAGTGGGGCCATAGAGTGCTTGGAGTCTGGACTTTGGCCCCCAAGTAAAAAGATAGCCCAGGAGTGTGAAGAGCAGGGAATTTTCACACTGATCATGTTTGTGATTTTAAAAGGTAATTTTGGCTCCTGAGTGGAGCTGGATTGCAGACAACTAGTGGAGTAGGGGAAAGTGACTGCAAGCCCTGCAGTGGGACAGGTGAGATGCGAGGTGGCTTGGTCCAGGGCAGAAGTACGGAGATGGGTGCCATGGAATCAGGGTTGCAGGGGGTGGAAGGAGGCCTGATAGGCCCCGATTTGCTGATGGAGGAGATGAGCCGGGTGTTGAGAGATGGAGGGGCCCAGGACAGCTTTCTGACAGGATGACGAGGCCACGGGTGAGAAGCACCTGGAGGAGGACCAGGTTTCAAGGGCAGGTGGGGATTTGCAGTCTAAAGAGCTGTGGGAGCTCCATGAGGAAAGACTGTGGGGCAGCAGGAGGGGCAGCAGGAGGGGCAGCAGGAGGGGCAGCTGGAGGGGCAGCTAGAGGGGCAGCTGCAACTCAGAGGGACAGTGGGCCTAGGCATACAGGGGGCTGTTGTCTGCATGGCAAGGGGAGACCTGGAGTGCAGAGGGCCTAGGGGTACTGTGGAACCCCAGCATTCGGGGTGGGAGGTGAGGGGAGGAGCTGGATGGAGCACAGAAAAAAGAATGTGGAGACCAGGCCAGAGAGCATTTCTAGGAAGAGGGAAGGTAGCGAGGAAGTGCTGCAGGGCCATCAGTGAGAACTAAAACTGCCCACAGATCTAATGACACAGAGGGAGGTCACAGTTCACAGGTGACCTTCCAAAGAACGGTCTGGGCAGGCAGGGGTGGAGGTCAGCTGGCAGGGTCCGGGAGGCAGTGGGAGGAGGGAGTGAGGTCAGCCCTTCTGAGAAGCTGGGCTCTGCTCAGGAGCAGGAGCTGTGGGTGGGCCCCGTGTCTCTGGGACATAAGGGAAAGAGGAGAGCCATGGCCCCTCTGCTGGGGCTGAGAGGGCTGAGGATGCTTTGCCATAGGGAGAGAGAGTTGGATTGTAATGGAATGGCCACAAGGGCCCTCAGGGGCCAGGCCTGGAGAGGAGGGGCACCTGCCCAGAGGGACACAATCAGCTCAGGTTGGGCTCTCCTTGGCTGCAGACCTGGCCCTGTCCTCACAGCATGCTATTGGCCCAGCACCCATCCACGCAGGCTCTCTGCAGTGGGGTGTATATGTGTGCTGGGGGCTGCTGGCTGGGAAAAGCCTTGCCACAAATCTCAGCTACTTCTGTGCCTGGGAAGCTGGTGTAGAAAGGGGGATCTGTGTATTCTCTACCCCCACCAGTTGCTGCTGGCCTCAGGCCTGAGCTTGCCGGGACCCCTTGGGCCCGCTATGTGTGGCGAGTGTTGGGAGGGCACTCAGAGATGAGCAAGGCACCACCTGCCCTCAGACACTGCTCTGCCCCAGGCTCGCTGGGGCCGGGAGGCTTTGAGTATCCTGACAGAAATCGCAGATGGGATGGAGGCCGTGGCTGCAAGAGGCCTCCTTCCAGTAGCCCCCATGCAATCAAGGCCTTCCCACTCCGATGCTCAGCCTGGGCTACTCAGCCCACCTGGTCTCTTCCTAGGAGCCCATACATTGTCCCATGCCTTTCTTGTCTTTGAGAGATGGGAAGGTTGGCCTTGGGATGGAGCATCCTGGGACAGCTGAGAAGAGCTGGTCAGAAGTTTTGATGCAGGAGAAATCCCAGGCAGGGAGACAAGCCTGCACGATGGCCCAAGCTCTGCTGTGGTTGTTTAGGGGCCCAGAAGGACACTGCAGTCTCTGCTCACCTCCTACTACTGAGATGATCATTGGTTCCAGTGACCCTAGACCATCTTGGCCACTGAGAATACCTATGCCCCTCACCCTGCGGCCCTGCGGCCCTGTGGTCCTAGAGGACCAGGGACAGAGGAAGTATCAACCTGCCAAGCAGGTATAAGCTCTAAGAGGATCCACTTCATGGGGGCCCTAAAAACTGGGGACCCTTTTGATCTAAAAATTCCATGTTTGCAGAAACAGTTAGAAAAGTGACAAATACACTTTAATGCTTACTAAATTTCACCTGTGGTCAGCCCAGAATGGAAGGACTCTGCATTCTCAGCAGTAAGGGAGGCTGAGTGCACGGTGGCAGCCTCCACGCTGTGGCCCTGACCACTTACCCCCAGCGGTCTGAAGCGCTCGGAGCATTGTGGGTAGGAGCACAGGACAGAGTGAGTGGCCCGGGTGGCCTGACCCGCCTGCCAACCTGGCTATCTCCCAGGAAAGGTGGTGGGTATTGATTATTTGAAGAAGTTTGTATTTTCCAAGTTTTCCCACGGAAGGCAGGAAGTACTTTTATACTCAAAGAAATAACAAATACCCAATTTAAAACAGAAGAGCCCAGCCTTCGGGAAGAACCTCTTACTTACACAGGTTTGATGTGCAGGGGTGTGGGCAGGGGCCTGGGGAAGCCTGCTTTCCCCACCAGCCAGTAGGTCTCCTCCACGTCCTTCCCCTGGAACAGGGAGAAAGCGCATCAGGGCTCCCTGCCCTGCCCCAGGCTTTGGAGGGTGAGGAGTGAGGAGTGAGCTAGGTTCCAACGGCTGCACAGAGAGTGGTCTGGAACCTGGGGGAGGCTGTCTGAGTCCAAATCATTCTCTGCCAATTGGCCAACTTATTCCACCTCTCTGTGCTGCCATTTCTTCCTCACCTCACAAAGTGATCATGAAGATTAAACAAGTTTAGATTGATCGGTTAATGACATAAAGGAAGAAGGAATCATGAACCATGGCCAGTAGGTCCAGGATGCTGAGACTGGAGGGTTCTGATGCTGTCCAGCCTTCACTGTTGAAGGACCTGGCAGCCTCCTCGGGATGCAGAGCAGCTGTCTGGAGAGAAAGGGAAGCATCAGGGGCAGAGAGGTGAGGGCTGGCTGCCTAGCATTCTGGACCCCGCACTGACTGGGCTTTATGGGGTAGATATTGCTCCAGGGAGGCCCAAACCGGTATCCAGGACCTGAGGTCAGTGTGCAGCCCTCCCCATCCCTCTGTCAGTCATGTCCTCTTCTTCTTGGGACATCCAGCAACCCCCACCCCCCACCATCACCAAGCAAGACACAGCGCAGCCCTGACTTCTCCAATTCACTCCCCAAGTCCCAGGAATCCGGAGCACAAGGTGCCACCCATGCTATCCCTCACCAGCTGTGTGCCCACACACAGGTTGCTGCTCCTTTCTGAGCGGTGCCCTCCTGCTCTGACACTGCACACTGTAATGGAGTGAGTCCCATAGGGCACCCAATTTGTGGGCCCAGGCACTTCCTTGGGCCTTTAAACCAGCCCACTTCTATCTCTTCACCAGAGGTGGCTCTATTTGAGGAATCTGGGGGAACGAAAAGAGGTGGGGTAGGAAGAAAAGTCACGCTCAGCCTCCAAGCTGTTCATGGGGAAAGTACACCCAATATTATGCTAAACAGTAGTGTATAGGGTGAGAGGGAGGACAGAGAAGGCTTGTCCGTCACTACTGGGGAAAAGAAGGAGGATATTCCTGGGCCAGGGCAGGCTTTAATGAGTGGTGATGTCTACACTGGGGTCCTGAAGGATGAATAGGAGCCCAGCCATGCTATGGAGAAGGCACAGGCTTTGGAATTATTAAGTCTGGGTTATGAACTGTGTAACTGACATGTCACTTTTCCTCTAATTGAACTTTTTTCAACTATAAAACGGGAGCAAGGTGATTACTTCATTATTGCTCTGAGTAGTGAATATATTGGTGTGTATTTTGCCCCAGTGTGTCACCCAGGCAAGTCAGCAATACAAGGTGACATCTCTGGTCTGGCCCTTCCTCTCACAAGGGTCCTAATGGCTCCCAGGAAGAAATGGTTCCTTAGGATTTGGGGGAGCAGAGAACACGTATAAAGGAGATCATTTACAACCCCAACTCTAGATAGCCACATTAATGAGATGGGAATCTCTCTTGCTGCCCACGGAAACTGGACCCTGGGAACTAGGACCTTCTCTCACTTTCAGCTCCGTCTGACCTCTGACATCAATTTTGTAGCCTTCATCAAGGCTGAGCAGGGCTTGAACGGTGCTTCGGCTCATGTGGATTCTGTAGGTTGAGAAAAAAGTACTAATCAAGTCCCCATGTGGTGGCAGTGTGCCTAGCATTTGGTAAAATCATTAAGAGCTCAAACAACCCCTGTTCATCCAGTCACACACACAGTTATGATTTACACAAAATCCTCCAGGCCTCTTGTCTCTTTAGATAGTTGGTCACTAAGAGACCCCAAGGAAAAGCAAATTACATAGGTTGTTAAGGGGAACTCAGGATGAAGTCAGAACCTCTGGGAGCATAATATTTATTTGTGGGAAAGTCTATAAAGGCTGAGCCAGAGAAGACAAACAGTTTTTGTTTTCTTTTTGAGCAGGACTCCCCTGTTGTGGGTTGCACAGGTTATGCAACTGGACACAGAGGCCTTGGGACTTAAACATTTTCAACTGCTCTGACCAATCCAGCAAGTAGTTCCTGCTGGCAACAAAGGCCTAAAACGTTGGGGCTGCCTACATGGCAGTGTTGTGGCTGCCCTAGCATAATGGGAGCTGGCATGCCACCAAGGAAAAAATCCAAACCGGAAATGGTCTCTTCATTGTAAAATGTGGAAACCGAGGCCTGCAGGAGCAGCATTCGGCTCATGGATACTCCCAAGCTGGTTGTGGAGCCAGGGCTTGGCCTCGGGTCCTCGTCTCTTGAGTCATTGTTTTCTCTGCTAATTCCCTCATGAAATCATCACAAAAACACCGTGGAAAGTTAGAACCAATGACATGCTTCACCTCCTTCCAGTTGCTTTACTGACAAGTAGAGTATGCCGTCGCCAGGTGGTGGCATGGTAACTAACTAAGCCCTGTTTCAAATAGTCAGGCTCTGCAACTTATTGTGAAAGAGAGTCCCTCCCCTGGCTGGGGCAGAGCATGAGATACTCACGCAATCCTGTGGACTCCATCCGGGATGCAGTGTTGACAGTGTCTCCAAACAGGCAGTACCGTGGTGACCCCCACGGCCCCTGCCATGCAAGGCCCTGAAACCCACAAGGTGAGCTCCGGCAGGCCTCCTACCAGACAGTCCCCAGTTCCAGTGGAGCCCCCCCCCCCAGTGTCCCCACACACTGCCATTCCCCTAGGTTCCAGGTGGTGGAAGAGACAGTGCTATCTGGAGTCTCCACAACACCCACCCAGACAGAAGATGACACATGGGCTAGGCCCTGGGCTGGGGCTGGGGGACTCAGATAAATCAGAGCCAGTCCCTGCTCTTGGGGAGCTATCAGCCCTTGGGGAGCTGTTTGAACTATGATTGGTGCTGGCATGAGGGGAGCACCATGCTATCCCAGGAAGGAACCCCCAAGCCAGCCCAAGGGTGAGCTGCATCTTCTAGGATGACAGGAAGAGCGGGCAGGGAGTAGCAAGTACAAAGGCACCCAGGTAAAGCCTACAGTCTGTGGGAAACTGCAAGCAGCTGAGTGTGAATGGAGGGCCACAAGGGTGCTGCGGGAAGAGGAGAGGGTGGAGAAGTTATCAAAGGCCTTGGGGGTGCAGAAGGGGAGCCATGGTGGGAGAGAGAATTGGGGCAGGGTAGAGACTCTGGGTTTCTTTTTCTTTTCTTTTTTTTTTTTTTTTTTTGTCTTTTTGAGACAGGGTCTCACTATGCAGTTCAGGCTGGTCTTGAGCTCACGTTGTAGCCCAGGCTGGCCTTGAACTTGCAATGATCCTCCTGCCTTAGCCTCCCGAGTGCTGGGATTACAGGCGTGTGCCACCACGCCCGGTGAGACTCTGGGTTTCTTTCAGATCCTTCTCAGCAAACATTTGTTTGCATGTCCACAAGATTCCTGTTCCGCCTCCTCCATCAGACTATCAGCACCTCTACATGGAGTTAGATGCCTTTGACTAGACAGATGCAGAGCCCAAAGCACTAGAACAGCAGAAAAGATTTGTGAACCTGAGATAACAGAAGAAAAAATGGCAATAAAGTTTTTCTGGCAGTTTCAGAATTTCAGAAATCCACAGGCCACCATTGGGCCATCCTAGCTGACATCCCAGGGAGGGTTTGGAGACTGACTTAGCCATCACCCCAAGCCACAGCCCATACCTGAGTGCAGCCCAATCCTGATGTGAATGGGTACACTGGGTGCGTGCCTCACCCGGAAGTCACCCACAGAGCTGAGGATGTCCAGGGCCATGTAGGCGATCTCAGCTGCGTGCCGGCTCCCGTTGCGCTGGGGCAACCCCGAAGCTACCATGTAGGTGTCTCCAATGGTCTCAACCTGGAAACCACAGCCCCCGTGCACCAGTGTGAGAACACACAATTCCCAGCCTATTCCACATCTGACCACACGGAACTACCTCTCAGGAGCTCCCAAACCCACCCTGTGGAGCTCCGACCCCCCTGTGCCATCTCTGCTAGGGCTTCAGTCAAGAAGCCCTAGCAACACTTCAGCAACACTTCAGCAATGATCAGGTCTACACATTTCAGATGCCTTCTGCCTGTAGCAGGTGACCATGGCTTTTTGTCTGGTGCAGGCCATGAGCTCCTTGGCAGCAGAGCAAGGGCCTCCTGCGCAAGGCCGTGAGGGCTGAACAAGGTTTCAGCTTTGTACAGAGGGCTCATGTATGGGCAACTCCTATGTCCTAAGCCTCCTGGCTTCCAAGGCATGCTGGAAGGATGTGGGTTCTGTGCATTCCCAACCCCAGCCTGGCCGTTGGCCCTGGCAGACCACTTTGCCTGTGTGGGCTTCAGCCTCTCTGCCTGGAGGGCCTGAGGGAGGATGGCAGGAAAGAGCCCATGCATCGAGGTATCGTCTCCTCATCATCATGGTTTTGAAGAAGATACAGCCTCAGAACCACCTCACTGGAAGGGACATTAATGGTTGCCCACCTTGTTTCCCCTTGGGGCACATCTTCCCCAACTGCTTTATGGGATGGGCCTTTCCCCAGGGAGCCCCAGAGCAGTATAAGGGACCCGAAGTCTGTGCGCTCTCACCAGCCCTCTCTGTGTCCCTTTCTGCCATCATGGACCCCTGCTTCTCAGGACACTCAGTGCCTCCTTGCCCAAGCGGGACACCCTGGCCTTGACTTCTCCAGCTTACTCCCTAAGCCTCAGAGATCCAGAACATCGGGGGCCACAGGTTCTAGTCCACACAAAGGGGCTGTGCTCAGAGATGCTGTCAGCTCCAGGTGAGGGCCGTGGCTTGTTGTACTCAGGTATGTCCTCTCTCACACATAGGTGGACATGGCTGGGGGTGGGGAGGTGAGAGCAAAGGCTTTTTTACTAACAAATACAGGTGTGAATTCTAACACCACCACTGACTTGCTGTGTGACCTTGAAAGAGCCTCTTACTTACCTTCTCTGAGCCCGGGTCCTCATCTGTGTGTAAAGCTGATAATCCATCCCACTGAAGGGTAGGAAAAGGGTTAAATGAGATGCCCTATGGAAGTCCTTTGGCTAAGTCAGCTCTGCGTGGGGGTCTCTTCCTTTCTGTGCCGAGGTGGGGCAGGTACGAAGCGCCTGGTGCTGTACCACTCAACCTTATGTTGCTGAGTGGATGAAGGAAAGCGCTTTCATATTTCTTAATCTCTACCCTAACCCATAGGCACTTTAATCCCTGTTTTATAAATGGGGCACTTGGGGCTCAGAGAGGCAGCAGGCCCAGGGTCGCTCGGTCACGTGACTGGTGCAGATGCCTGTCCCCTGTCTCGCTGCAGTTCCCAGAGGCTCTGCTCTGCACTGAGTGTGTCCATAAGAGTGCACACTCAGCACGGCTAGTGCTGCGAGCCAGCTCCAGCCCCTTGCAGAACCAGGAAATGACACCCAGCTGCCTCCCAGGCCAGCTGGATTAAGCAGTGTAACCAGATCCTGGTGGGGGTGGAGGGGAAACCGAGGTGGACGGCGAGGGTGATGAGAGACGGGTTGCACATCACAGGGAGCAAGCCTCCCGTTCCCCACATCTGGAGCGGGGTGTGGGCCTTGTTTTATTCCATTTCCCTCTGCCAGAAAGACACAGGCCTCTTGGCCTGAGTTCAGAGCAGAGCAGCGCTGTGATTCAGAGCTGGGAGGGACACATGTGTGAGGAAAGATCAGGCAAGGAGGAAGAGACAAGCCTGGGTGACTCAGGGCAGATCAAAGCTGTGGGGCTTGGCAGGAGGAGATGAGGAATCTTTCCCTGGGCTCACGGGGCTGGGCAGCCATGGAGGCAGGAGGGAAATACCAGCATGCGAGACAAGCTTGCAACTGTGGCCAGGACAGGTGTGGGGCCCTCATGGGAATGGGAGTGGGGCGGCATCCTTGGGTGTCAGTGTCTCAAGTCACTGAGGGCCACTTTTGGGTACTGTCTGCAGCAGACGGGCACCTGGAGTTCCTCGCCCTTGGCCCTGCCTCCTTGGAGAGCTGTGGTGTGTCCTGAGACCTCCTTCCCCACCTTCTCCACCATGTCTGAAGCAAGCCCCCGGGCCCAGCTCCTGGATTAGAGAAATGGGTAGAGTTGAGGTGGAGAGGTCCCCATGGCATGGGGGAGAATGTGGGAGGCAACTGCTCTGACAAACTCAGTTTACAAGCACTTCAGGGGTAGGGGGGGACAGGATCCTTCTGTCATCAGTGAGCCTGTCACGACTGAGGGTCTGACTCCCACCCCTTGCAAGGGAACCGAGGTCCTTACTCCCTTCCCCAGAGGGGAGGCTGCTTGTGCAAAGCCACACAGAAGTTGGTTGCAAGACCGAGATGTGAACCCAGGATTGAGAGGTGCACAGGGCCCAGCCCACGGAGGACCTTGATGGCTTTGCCAAAGGCTCTACTACCCTCTCCAGTGTCTCCCACCCCAAACCACTGCTGGTCTACTTCATGTCCAGCTGTTGAGACCCACTCAGCACTCCCCACTCGTCAGGACCTCTCGAGGCTTAAGTCATACCCAGAAAATGCTGGGAAGACAGCATCTCTTCCCATAGCCCTGCCTTATTCTTATTCTGCATATACCCTCTAGCTGGCACAGTGCCTTCTTTGCCCCCTTGGGCTTTCCAAATCATCACTTTCACTGGGAGTTGTCATCATCTCTTTTCTGCAGGACTTGGAGCCCCTTGAGGGCAGGCACCAGAGTTGACTCTTCTGTCTGTCCATGTCCTGCAAGGGTCAGGAGCCAAAGGTCCCACCAGTAAATGTTAAAGGGAGGGATGGCTGGACAGTGAACAAGTGAATACTATGGCCAAATAAATGGAAAATGGCCCACACTCTCTGTGCTGTCTGGATCCATACCCATTGCAACATGACTCTAGAGCTTCTCTCATCAAGAGGTGGAGTTTATTTCTAGTGGCACTTTTGGCCACTAGAAAATGTTGAAAATAGTGTTTTCCTTTGACCACTTGAAAATGTTGAAAATAGTATTTCTGATGCCAGGTTAGAGCTCAAGATGCTTGTGTACATCTGTCTTCTCTGTCTCCAAACTCAGCCACACTGGGTTCTCCTAGCCAAGACTTCAGATATGTGAGGACCAGCTAAGATCATCAGAGCTGCCCACCTTGCTCACAGCTGACCACAATGTATGACTGAATCCAGAATAACCTTTCAGCTGACTCTTAGATTTGTGACCAATGGTAAATGCATATAACTTTATACTACTGGATTTGGGGTCTACTTGTTACACAGCAATAGATAACTGATACAAACACATAAACAGGTGAATGGAAGTAAATTTTCAATATAGACATAGCAGGAAAGAGAGGAATAGAATGCTAGCTTTCTGCTATTCTCACCTTATATACATCATAGTTGCGCAGAATAGCATCGTATAATGTATAGAGGTCATTGAGCAAGCCCACCACTTCAATGGGTTCACTCAGGGCTGAGATGGTAGTGAAACCCACAATATCACTGAAGTATATGGTAACCTGGTCAAAATACTCTGGCTCCACAGTTGCCCCATCTTCAGAGCTTCGGCAACAGACCTAAAGGGATGGCAGGGGCCAGAGTCATAAGGTGAGAGGACCATTTTTCAGTTCAGAGGTCAGAGAGGGATATTTTGGAGAGCTGTGAGTTGACTGTCAGGGATTTGTGACAGTTCTTCTGGTGTACTGGCTGCCCTGCAACAAATACCTGTCCTTCCCTGGACCTAACTTGCTCTGCAGTGAGATGGGAAGAACACTGTGTCCCTCTTGCTCTCGCAAGGGTACAGGAGAGCAGAAGTTCAACACTGGTGTGCCTGACACCTTGCCTGGCACTTGGTGAGGGGCTATAAAAATATGTTCAATAAATACATAGGAATGAATGATTGGATGAATTCACAGGACCCAGATTTTTCTGAGCACTTACTATGTGCTAAGACCTCTTAATTAGATGTGAGGCTAGAGGCACACTTGAGTTCCAGGGGCCACTCACGGGGGAAGCATCTGCGAGAGCAGCCTCTCTGTCTTCCACCTCTCCAGCTCCAGCTCCTCTGTCCTCTCCTGGACCAGGTCCTCCAGGCTCTGGGAATACTTCTGTAGCATCCACAGCATGGAGTCGGCAACACTGGTCTTCTTACCTTGGTTGATGCTTTTGAACTGAAGAAGGAACAGAAATTTCAATTCATCCATGAAAGTGCCTGGCCCTCAGCTTGGGAGTCTGGTCACAGATATGGGCCCAGTGCAGCCCCAGCCTGGAGGAGACGAATTGTTGGGTGAGGTAAATCTGTAAGTAGATGGGGGTGGGTGGCGGGGTAGCTGTGACAAGGGAAGGACATAGGTGTGAGCAGGAGGGCAGGAAAAGGACTTTGCAGAGGGTGTGGGACACAGCATGGCGTTACCACTGACAAGTGTATCACCCTACTGCCCTCTTCCTCACACAGCACTGTGGGGTGAGCACACTTGGTTCTTAAAAATAGATAGATAGATGGATAGATAGATAGATAGATAGATAGATAGATAGATAAGTAGATAAATAGATGGGGAGAGTAGGTGGATGCATGCATTGGTAGATAGATGTGTGGATACCTAGATGGGTAAGTGGATAGATAGAAAAAGTATATGCAGAATATAACTATATATATATATATGTATATATATATGCACACACACACACACACACACACACACACACTATTTGTACTCCTCTATTCTTATTCTTATGAAAAAATAAAGACAGTCCTACAAAATAGAATACTAAGTATGTAAGGACATTAGAACCAAAGGTTTTTTTCTTGTTCTTAAGAAAAGGTTAATCCTGTAGTGAGGTCTATATGCAAACTGCATGCTAAAATTTGATCACTATTTTGATATGAGTTTCCTCGCAACAAAGCCAAAAGGGAAATATGGATTATACAATCCATGGAGGCCACAAGACAATGGAACATTAAACTATTTGCTCAAAAGAAACACAACTACAGCTCCTACCATGCAAAGAGAGCACCTCTTAGGCCTTCATGTGAAGACACCTTCAGTGAACAGCACTTTTAGTGATAACCCGTCAGCAAGTGTGGCAGCAGTTTCCTAGCAAAACTTTCTAGAACCTTCCCCAAGATGGTCTGTACCTCCCCAAAGTAATGTCAGTAAGAGAATCAGATCACTGAGGGTCAACGTGAAGGTGTGCATTCTTGTCTATCCCAGAAGTTTGAACAGTGTACCAGCATGTGTATCTTTGGCATGTGTGTGTGTGTGTGTGTGTGTGTGTGTATGTGTGCATGCATTCAACCTGCATTTATACCCCCTTTTAGCCAAGTCTCAGCAAGGTGGGGAGTGGCAGTAGCTCCTCATTGGTGCTACGTGCGTTGTCCATTAAAAGCCCAAGCTTCAGACGTCTGTCACCATGGGCAGGACAACAAGGGCCTGAAGCTCACAAGTCCACAGAAGGCCACCACTTAAATTAAGTAACAAAGGATCTGAGAAGTGAAATAACTTCTCAAGGGACACAGTTTCAAACTGAAGTCTTTTTGTACTAATTTTATCATCAACTACCCTACCACAGCATTTTGTTATTTGGAATGCTTCTTCCATTGTTCTCTTGGGCTGTCCAGGAATGCAATCACACGACCTGTAAATCACAGTCATTTTCTCCTTCCTTCCCAATATTCACTTTTTTTTGGGTTGCATTGGCTTGTATTCCCAGGGAAGTGGGACCTGGGCATAAACTAGGTTTTGACTTCAAGGGCAGAGCTCCTTCTTCTGAACCTCCCTTACCTTCTTCTCAGAGAGCTACTTCTTTGAACACTGGTTATCTGGTTTGATGGCTACACTTTGCCAAAGTTAGTTATCCTCCCAGGCAGGATGTAAAGAGGCTGAGGTTTAACAGAGCCTTGAGCTCACCTGGTGAGACAGTAGGTGGGTGGTAGCACAGGGGTGAACCCGGCCACTCCCACACTCAGCCTCCCCTCAGTGGGATGTGGACCCCTTCTCATGCTGAATACCTCAGCCTTCTTTGCCATGAGCCTTGGGCAAGGGACCCCACAGTCATCCCCTCTCTGGGCCAGTGCCTCCATCCCTGCCTCATGGGCTACAGGAATCTTTGACCTCCTAGGGGAGATTCTAGGCCCTGTTTTAGGAACGGTGGTTCATTTTAGCTTAGCCACCTACCCTCACAGTGACCCCTTTGAGCTCATTTACTCTGAGTCCAGACTTCCATCTGTGAAATGGACCACCCCACCCCCTGACGCCGGGACACAGTGGGGGAAGGTTGGTGAGCAGCTTTCAGAAGACCCATGGCCTCTCATATCTGCATGCTTCCTCTGCTCCTGCTGTAGAATACCCCTCTTGCTTGTGAATCTTACTTTGGCAATTTGCCATTGTGGCTGGGTAGTGGAGGGCAGGAAGAGGAGGTAAAGACATCACCCAGGCTTGATGGATTGGCCCTGGGGCACTGTTGGATGGCTTAGTCAGGCCCACACACTCCACTCTGCTGAAGGACTGGTCCAGATTTGCCTTGCCCCTCCCACTGCAGTCCCAAAGTTGACTAGAGGACTCCAAGGTCCCTCACCTTCCCCTCCCTTAGTCAGGAAACTGCTGTGACCCAGGACACAAAGGGCATTTCTGCTCAGGCACCAGGAGGCCAAGTCCCTCGTGAGGCTCCCTGTGTAGCTCTACAGACAGACAGAGAGGCCTAGGGCTCACTTAGATACCTTAGACAAGCTCCCTCGCTTACCTGTGTCTCATATCTGCTCTGCAAAGCCGTGAAAATGACATGTTTTTTAGAGGGCTGCCGAGAGGCTAGTCAACAGAAGCAAGACACTTAGCCTGGGGAGGGCACTCAGGAGGGCCTGACAAACGTGCTGGGAACCTGGGTGGACTCAGGCATGATGATACCAGCCCTGGACCTCTAACTGCATGGCATCTCCAAGCCCCAGCCCCATGGTGGGCTCTTGCCAGGCTGAGTGAGGACTGGATAGGTGCCCACCTCTTCTCGGAGCCCTGACCTGGGTGTAGATCTGGTCCAGGGTTGTTCTGTTCTCAGGAGCCTCTTCCCAACATTGCTTCATCAGCTGGATGCACACGTGTGGCCCGTGGTCAGGGGACACCAGTGGCCAGCACAGAGGAGGGGGAGAAGCCACCTTCCCGATGATTTCTGCAACAAACACCATGTTGGTCATGGGCCTGATTCTGGAGGGCTCGTGGGAGGGGTCTCTGAGAGAGGGAGAGCAGATTTTAGGGGGCATGCGGGTCAGGTCACCAGGCTGCTTCCCATTCTCTTCGCTCATCCTAGGGTGCAGCTGGCCTGTGGCCAGAGCCGTGGTGCTTTCTTGAGTCTGCTCAGGGTGTGGCCAGGGAAAGTGTCTCAGACCAGGAGCTGGGAGGGCTGGATTTGAATCCAGATCTGCTACTAACTCTTTATGAGAGGGTGGAGAAGGCCATAACTTTCTCAGCCTCAGTCTTCCCATCTGCGAAACTAGCTCAGTAAATGGCCTTCTTGAGAGGGGTGCTGACAGAGGAGGTGACGGATATGAGGTGCTGGTACCTGGCAGGTTCTCCCCCATTGCCCCTGCTTAGTTGCCAGTGGGTCAGCATGGAGCTTCTAGTCTTCCATTTACTTTCATACATGTTGTATCAGCTTTCTGAGCCTCAGTTTCCCCGCCTATAAAATGGGCACTCAATGCTACCGATCTCTAGGGTTCTTATGAGGCACAGCAGATAAACTTCCTCTGATGAGGGCTGGGATCCAGAGGTGGGAACCTCTGGAGCCAGAAAGAGAAACCTTTCTGGATATCAGTCTTTTCTCAGGCCTTCGCTTGACTCCTCATTGGAGTGACTGTCCCTTTTTACAGGTGAAGGAGGGCACCCACATAGGGCCAGTTAAAAATAGACCTCAGAGCACAGGAACATATGCACGGGGAGCCAATAGCACCACAGGTGTGCGCATGCACACATATGCACACTGACTGCTGTTTTACAAAGGCATGCTGGTGGTGTTGTGATGAATGAAATACAAATCCATGTCAAAGTGTCCTTGCTTTCAGGGCAAATGTTTTATTATTTTTGTAGTCAGCGGGTGTTAAAGGTCTAATAGTTGAGTAGTATATGAAGCTCCAGGCTTTTTCTTTCTCTTTTTTGGTACAGTACTGGCTTCTAGGAAGCCCTGATAGAGAACACAGAAAGAAGGGAGCATTTCTGAAGTTAGGTCCTGGCCCTGGGGCTGGAAAAGTGAAAATGTCTACCTGCCAGGTGACAACGGGGAACAGGTGAGGGATTATCCTGTATGGGGACAAAAGTATGGGGACAGAGAGGCCCTGGAAAGAGTCCTACTAGGCAGGTAGCTGAGCCTGCAAATACTGGGAAGCCTGGCCACATCAGTCGCAGGCCTGGCCCTGGCACATGTTTATTGATTTCCATTTTAAAGATGAAAAACCAAGGCTTGGAGAGAGTGAGTGATTTGTGTGAATGATGCGGGACTGAGCTCTGTGTGGACACGATCTGTGCTGGGCTTGGAGGGGAGGAGGCGCCTTAGGGCGTGAGCACCTGAAGATGTGGCAGTGGCCTTGGGCGAGAAAGGAAGGGGCCAGAGTTGGCACCGAAAAGTAATGCCTTCAGCGGCTGGAGCTGGTCAGCTGCCACTTTGGCAGAGTAGCTGAAGGTTTGCCTGGCTTAAGTCAAGGAAACCCAATCGTATAGTCAGACTTGAGATGCCTATGTAGTGATTTTTAGGCCTGGATTTCCTGATTGTCACAAAGCTCCCTAACTATTTGGAGACTGCAGCCAGGGACAGGCCAGGGAGGGGGAGGCAGACACCGTACCTTCTGCTGAGAGCCCCAAGGAGGAGTAGGGTGGACTTTGGGTCAGCACCTCCTGAAAAATGATGCCCATGCTGAAGACGTCCCCTGGGCTCCTGGGGCCTCTGCAGCAGCTCAGGAGCTGTCCACAGCAGCTCTGCAATCACAGGGCAAGGCTACTCATCACTCTTTGCAGCAGGTTGGGCCAGGCGGGCCAGCACTTCACAGCAGTGATGTCATTGCTTTTCCTTGTGCTCCGGGAGGACATGGGTACTTCTGTTTTCTGGGGTCACAGATGAAGAGCCTGAGGCTCCTCTAGGGTAGTAGTCACTGACTCAATGTTACACAACAGGAAGTGACTGACAGTAGGACATACTCTCCCCCTACTCTGCTTCTCAAGGCCCTGGTTTAGACAGAGGTCTCAGTACCTACTGGCAGGCCCCTCACCACTCTGGTTCTGACCTTCTGGGGCAGGCTGGGGTCCAGGCAACTGCTGGGCATCCAAGAGCTCAGCATAGCCATAGTCAGTGACCTTGAGCACGAAGTAACAATCCACTACACAGTTCAGGGACTTGAGGCAGCCATGCAGGAGGTGTCAATGGTGCAGATACTGCACGCCCTAGGGTGGACATAATGGCGATTCCAGTGGATCTATGATGCCTGAGAGAGACCTCAGAACTCCCATGGGCCCAAGAAGGCCTTCCTGCCTTACCTCCCCTTTCACTACACTGTTCCAATTTCGCAGACAAAGCTGGAAGAGCCCAGGTGTGGGACACCTGAGCATGTTTTATCTGCCTGCCCTCCCGATGCCCCTACACCTCCAGGGGAGGTTCCTCACTTGGATCAAATCCAGAAGTAGGGAGGCCTTGAAGGTCCAGTCTTGCCACAGAGCCTTGTTTTGTAGCAGGTCCTTTAGGCTACTCTAGCACCAGAGCACTGACCTCAGGAACCACAAAAAAGCCCAGGCAGGTGGTGACATTCTCATGATGCATCTCTCTCATCTGTTGAGGCAATAGATACCTTAACACCCTCATGGAGAACTTTGAAGGCCAGACCAAGTATAATCTACATAGAGGGTCCTTGTATGTATCACCGAGCACAAGGATGAGCACAGAGAAGCATTAGAAATGATGGTTGGGGGCTGGAGATATAACTCAGTGGCACAATCGCCTGCCTGGCAAGTCAAGGTCCTGAGTTCAATGCCTGGTACCAAAAAAAAAAAAAAAAAAAAAAAAAAAAAAAGATGGTTGGCTGGTTGGGTTAATGGATAGATTGGTGGATGGATGGATGGATGGATGGATGGATGGATGGATGGATGAATGAGTGGATGTGTGGTGGATATATGGTTGGGTGGTGTCTTGGTTACTTTTTTCTTGCTGCTGGGACAAAATACCTGACGCCCAAAATTAAGGAAGGAAAGGTTTATTTCGCTTACAGTTCGTGGAGGTTTCAGCCCGTACTTGGCAGCTTATAAGGCAGAGTGGCACATGACGGAGAGCTACAGCTCATGTCTGCAGAACACAGCAAAAGCAGCAACACATACCAGGGCGGAATGAAGGAGGAATGCCTCAAGCACCCTTTTCCTCTCCCTTACATATGCAAACTATCCACTCCAGGGCGGGTGCAGCTCTCACACCCATATTCAAACTCTAAAAGCCTGCCCCATGTCCGCAGGAGGCATTGGGGGGACACACAGACATAAACCATAACAGGTGGATGGTAGATGGATGGATAGACAAGTGAATGAACAAGTGAATGGAAATACCATGGATAAATAAACGAATGAGCTATACCCACCTCTACAGAGTAGAGATCTAGGTTTTCTTCTCAAAATAAGTGACACTACTGCATAGAAACTGTATCATTTCTCTCTCCAAGGATAAGATATTGAAGGGGGAGGAAAAAGAGCAGAGGGGGTGCTGGGGATTTAGTTCAGTGGCACAGTGCCTGCCTGGCAAGCGCAAGGTTGTGAGTTTGATTCCGGTACTGGAAAAAAAAAGAAACAAAAAACAAACAAACAAACAAAAAGAAGAGCAGAGGGATCTGGTAGCAGTGTCCCTGACAGTTGCCCGGCAAATTATAAAGCTCACACTCAGGGCTGGGGATGTGACTTTGTGTATGCCTAGCATACACAAAGCCCTGGGTCCAAGCCCAACATCACGAGAGAGAGAGACAGACAGACAGACAGACAGACAGAGACAGAGACAGAGACAGAGACAGAGACAGAGACAGACAGAGGGAGACAGAGGGAGGCAGAGGGAGACAGGGAGACAGGGAGACAGAGAGAGCTAGACCTAATCAGGGACACCGGCATTTGCCAAGCAGGACAGATAGAACCCTTGTCTGGCATGGCCTTTCTCATAAAAACAGTTCCGGGCTCAGCTAAATGAGGGACCTGCACATTCTCCCACTGAAGATTCGCAGGCTCATTAGTATATGTGGAAGTTAAGCATGGCCTCTCCCCTTGAGTGTGGGGGAGTAGCTTTGTGATGACTATGACCAGCTGAATACAGTGGAAGTTGTCTTGTATGCTTCTGCACGCAGGACTGGCAAATTTCGTTTCCTGCCCCTTGTTACCCTTTCCTTTGGTGCTCTAAGACCCTAGGTCAGAAGTCTAGAGAATCCACAGAGGGAAGCTCTGAGATTACAGAAAGAGGGGAGATGAATCCAGCTTTCCAACTTTCCTGCCAAGGCATCGAGCATGAGTGATGCCATTTTATGGCCTCTGGACTGAGAAGTAGCAACATTTTCTGGAAAGGTGCAGAGAGTAAATATTTTAGGTTCTGCGGGTCTCTGGCACAGCCATTCGTTTCTGACATTGGAGGAGGAAAGCAGCCACAGACAACACATAAAGGAGAGAGAAGGCTTTATTCCAATAAAATTTCATTTATGGACTCTCAAATTCCACAGCTTTCCACTGCCAAAAACACATAAATATTTCCAGCTCCTAACTATAATGTACCTCTCTCTTGAGGGCCTGTTCTCTGTTTCCTTAAGTGTGTACTTTTAAATTTCTGTCTAATAAATTTTTATGCCTCTTAAAAAAACTTCATTTATCAAAGCAGGGGATGTGCCTGGTTTGCCTGTGGGTCAGTTTACTAAGCTCTGATAGCCCATTTATTAGCTAAGCACTACTGAGCCTTCCTCTAACCGAGGCAAAGCAAAATAGAACTGCCCAGTTGAGCCCTACCAATGTTTCTTCTCCACAAAATTGCAAGATATAAAATGGTCATTGTTTTAAGCCACTACCTTTTGGGGTAAGCTGTTACATAGCAGTAGATAGAATAGCATAGTAAAGGTGCTGAGAAACGTCATGGCTAACCTAAGCAGTTTCCAGATTTGAGTGACTGCATATATGCCTGTGATCCCAGATACTCAGGAGGCAGAGGCAGCAGGATTGCAAGTTTGAGGCCACCCTGGGAAACTTGGTGAAAACTGGTCTCAAAATTAAAAATTTAAGAGGCTGGGATGTAGCTCAATACTCTCTGATTATCAGGGGGGAAGGGGGAGAGAGAGAGAGACAGAGACAGAGACAGAGATACAGAGAGAGATCTCCTCACACAGGTTGCAAGATGACCACTGGGAAATGCCTAAATGTACCTCCAGTTACTTAACCTCTCCAAACTTTATTTCAGAGTGGTGATGTTGGAAAGAGTAATAAAAAATAGCAAAAGTAAGAAGCTAATTAAATTCATCATTGGTTGAAGGCTCTCCGCTTGCCAGGAACAGTTCTGGGTTATTTTGTATGTTCCCTGCACCCCTCCCAGTTCCCCTGCAGCTGGACAGCGTTGGCTAGGTTTCCCAGGGAAGCTCATGTTCCTTGGAGGCAGTATCCTGTTGGCCCACGATGCCTCTTGGGGTGGGGACAATCTCAGGGCAAAGGTACTTATGTGGACAGTGATAGAAGCTGCCCCAAGGAGAGAACCTCTCTTTTCCAAAGCCCAGAACACAGCCTGGCACATGAGAGTGCCCAAAAATAGCAGATGAATGCCTGGCTGGGCAGACGGAGGAAAGGTGCAGCCCAGTGGCCCTTGATGGTGTTGAGATGCCACGTGACCTGCTACTGGAGGGGACTGTATCCCTGGTGGCTATGGTGAGGACCATACTGGAATGACAATGTGACCTTAGGATGTGTGTGGGGATTGCCCTGAGCAGATCCTCCCCTTCCTACCTCCCAAACAGCCCTACCTTTCTCAGGAGGCCGAGGCAGCTGGGGTGCAGCTGAGGAGCTGTACCTGCTTCACACTTCTTCAGCCAAACCCAGTCTCCCTGTTCAAGGAAATGCAATGGTTTGCCTGCTGCTGTTCCCCAGCTGTGTGACTTCAGAAGATCCCTCCACCTCGCTCGGCCCCATCTTCTCCCCGAGAAAGGTGCTCTTCTATGTTGTGTGCTGGGCAGAGCCTGGGCAGCAAGGGCCATAGTTAGACTTTTACTGGGCCCCTAGCAGAGCCAAGCCCCTGGGCTTGACTGACAGACCCAAGTTCCAGTCCTGACTTACTACCTTTTAGCTCTCTGACCTGGGTCAGGTGACTTCCGTTCTCTGAACCTCAGGTTCTAAACCTGTAAAGCACCTCATCTCCAGGGCTAATGAGGTGGTGGCTATGAAGCATGTTAGTTCTTGGCCTTGAGATCAGCTTAACTCTGCAGGTTTCAGATACCCTTGATGCCCCAGGCCCTGTGAAGAGTTTCTCTTTGACACAGGAAAGGGGCAAGGGAGGGAGGGAGAGGGAGTGTCCTTAAAGTGGGGCTCTGTCCTTGTCTTGGGCTGGCACAGTGCTAGCTGCAGCCTCAGGCCTATGTCCCTTGTCCCGGGGTGGGTGCACCTCCTTGGTTTACAGACAACACGTACTTTGCACATCACTAAGGCCTCCTTTCAGCAGAAAAGGGAAAGGATGGAATTCTGTAGGGGACAAGGTAGAAAAGAAGCAGCAAGAGTCTCAGGTTGCTTCCCATGGAAGCAACTGGCTCATCAACTGTGGGAGTCACGGAATATGAGCACTGTAGTGTCATCGAGTTACTGAACTTGAGAATGACAGCACCTGAGACGTTGCAATGGCTCAGGCAACCTTATAGTCTTGTCGGTTTAACATCTAACTTTCTAGCCTCCCTGTCAGCTGGTGGTCTGTGCTCTGCCTAGAGGCTGCTCAGGGCTGGGTGCTGCCACCAGGGACTTGGGGACCACGAATTCCATGTTGTACGACCATAATGGTTTAGATCTAGAATGTCTCCTCAATGTGTGATGTGTTCAGAGGTAGTGATTTTGGAAGGTGATTGAATCATGAAGATGCTATACTCATCAGTGAATTGTTCTAGTGATAAGTTCACAGCTACATGTACTGTTAAGAGGTGAGACTTGGTCGAAGGAGGTATGTCCCTGGGGGGTGATCCTTTAGAGGGTATAACTCCCTCCACATTTCCTCTCTCTGCTTCCTGGCTACCATGGGGTGAGCAGCTTTCCTCTGCCATGCCGTTTTACCTTGCTATTTCTGCCTTGGAGCCAACAGACCATGGAGTGAATCCCTGCAAACTATGAGTCAAGTTAAACCCCTCCGCCTCTAAGTTGTGTGTGTCAAGTGTTGTGTCTCAGTGATGAGAACACTGACTAATACAGTGCCCTGAGCAGTGCCTAGGGCCAAGTGGCCAGGAGTCATGGAGCCATGCTTGGCTGAGAGCTGGAAGTTCTGTTTCCTACTTGTACCCCTGCTGCTGACTTGCCAGGGAACCCAGGAAAACCACTGCTCCTATTCGGGCTGGTTTCCCATTCTCTGTTAGAAATGGACCAAACATTCTCCATACTGATACAGCTCTCCAGGCCTCCTTGGTGGCAGAAAACCTTACCTGGTATAACGCTATGTTGCTGGCCTCCTGGGGGGCTGGCGGGCTTCTTGCTGACCCCTGGGCCACTGACCCCAGGCTCCCGCCATCATCCATGCTTCTTGATTCACTTGGACTGTCCTTGTCCAGTTGTTGGAGGGGGAGGCATGATCAGAAGCCCAGATCCCGCCAAGATCAGGTGCCTGACCACCAGCCCAGCTCTACCCCACCTGCCCTACAGCTTGGGGGCCTGCGGAGGAAGGTGAGCTCCTGGGTGGTCAACAGGACCTGGTGGGGGCACCACACCAGCTGCAGCTGCCGGATGCCCAGTCTGGAGATGAGAGATAGAGGGCAGTAAGGGTGATACAAAGGTCACCCCCACTTCAATCTGACCCTTGGATCGGTCTCTGACTCACAGTCCCCCCTTGTTCTCTCCTTGTTTCCATTTCTATGTCCCACCCATCCCAGTTAAGTGCACGGAGCACTATCCTCCTGAACCCTTTGGCCTTGGGCTCAGGCCTGGGACTGCTGAGGGACTGATGTGGCTACTGGGTGCGGTGTTCCCAGGTGCCTGGAGGTCCCAGGGATAGCCAGAGCCTGGGGTGAGGTGGGAATGAAAGGATGCCCCCTTTCAGATGTGGTTGAGACTCAGAGACCATCTGGATTAGGAGCACAGCAATTAGAACTCCAGGGAGAATGTTCTTATAGCTGAAGGGCCCCCTGGGGATGATCCTGGTCACCCCGCTTCATTGTATAGATGAGAGCTTGAAGCTCAGACGTCAGAGTCTCCTCATGGGTCATAGGCCTCTTCCTGGGGTTTCAGACCTTCTCAGCTAGGGTCCCAAAGGTCCTGACTGTAGGTGGAAAAGAACACCTGAAGTCCTAGAGGATGGAGGCAGGGAAAGCCCCTGCAGGTTGCCACAGGGAGGCCCTGTAGGGGGACAAGGAGAACCAGAGTTGGTTCAGGCCAAGACAGTCTCACCTGACAGAGACAATGAGGGCCCCACCAGCTAGCATCAGGCCACAGGTCAGGGCCAGAGCCAGGAGGCTGCTCAGGGGCTGTGTACCTGTGGGGAAGTAGGGACAGATAAGAATCACCACACAGTGACAGCCTCCTCACCACACTCCTACGCTTACTTTCTAGGCATCCCCCCTGGGAAATGGGAACACATTGCCTAGCTACCTCCCCAGTGGCTAAGCTCAGAACTACTGCCTGTGTGGCGGGGCAAGGTTCCATTCTGTCCTATAGCCCTGGGGCTGAGCACAATGCCTGGGGCAAATAAAACACTGGGTGAAGTCTTCACCTCTGTCCCTCTCCCAAGAGATTTCTTAGGGCTTGCATCTGTCCAGGAGAGAGCTGATACTATGAACCATACTGTGTGCCTGGGGAGAGGAGATGAGAAGCCCCAATTTGACTACAGAACTCATCTCAAAGGGCAAAAAGATTTAGCTAGGCAAAGTTGGGTAGGGTAGAGGGCCTAGAAAAGCACTCCAAGGGGAAGAGAGTTCACAGTCAAGGGCAGCCTAACAGAGAAGGGCGTGTTCCAGGAAATGCAAGGAGTTGGCTATGCTCATGGGCTGGGGTTGAGAGAGCAGGGAGAGCCCAGGTCAGGAGGAGGAAGGGGCCGCAGAAGGTTTGGGGCAGGGGAGGGAGGTGAATAAGCCGTCCAACCTATGCTACTCACCCACGGCAGTCACTGCAGCTAAGTGTGCGTTAGGGAACGCGGGTGGCCCTCTCCACACACTGTTGTGTGCACATTTCTCTATACTTAGGCACGTGACTGTCAAAACAGTCTTATCAGCTTTGACACACAGAGTAGATGAATGAGAGGAGTCAGAATGTTATGGGCCTCCCGGTCTCACACTGTTCACTAGGAAAGGAAATCCTGCACTTGCAGTTGGAAGACTTGGGCTTGGTATGAGCTCAGCCACTGCTTCCCTGTGTGCCCTTGAGTAGCTTATCAAGTCTTTCTGAACTTCAGTTCTCCAGCGGTTCCTGGAAGATAATGGCCTAGGAACAAAGCTATGGTAACTGTTAGGAGATCTGATAGATGAGAATGTCTCTCTAAATGCTTTAGCCCCACCCATCTGAGGGATGCCTTGCTAGTCTTCTCTGGTACCACACAGAGCTGCTGGCTCAGTCTTCTCAGTGAAGTGTTATATCCCTTCTTTGCATCTGTTCCTACTACCCTTATAATACTATCCATATGGGGAACTTTAACTCAGCAGGATGGATGAATGGATGGGTGATAGATAGATGGTTGGAAGGACAGATGTGTGGCAGATGGACAGGTAGACATGGATAAATGGGGGGGTGGGTGGATGGATGGATGAATTGGATGGATGGGTGATGGGTGGATGGACATAGGTGGATAAATGGGGGTGGGTGGATGGGTGGATGGGTGGATTGATGGGTAAAGGGATGCATAGGTGATGGATAGATGGATGGATAAATGGATGAGTGGATGGATGGATGGATGGTTGGGTAGCTGGTGGATGGACGAGTAGATAATGAATTACCTCTCATACACAGGGTATTGGGGTCGAACCAGCAGCTGGAGTCATGGGCTGGAGGAGCCCCTCCTGGAAAATGTATGGCCTTGCTCAGGGGCTTCACTTTCTATGTGGCTGTGTCCAGAATGTTGGTGGGGACCAACTGGCTTCCTTGACCATCGGTGTCCAAGATGACATACTGGGCCAGCCTCCTACCCTTCTCATTGGTCCAGATCCTCTGGCTAAATCCTGCCACATCAAGAGCCCCTATATGGTCCCCTAGGTGAGTTCCTGAGAACCCTGCCCCCTTGCTTTCAGAGCGGCTCAGGGTATGGGCCAATAGGACAACAGCATCATAGATGGTTCCAAAGAGTGGGGACACCTGTGAGAGAGAAAATCCTTCAACTGCACAACCTCATGGCATAGGCTCCTAGACAGGAGGTCCTATTCTTCTGCTAGGAGCAGCTGTTTAGATTAACACTCTCCCCTGCAACACAGTCCCACATTATCCTACTCAGCAGCTTCCCAGTCTCTATGGCCACCACCACTGTTGTCACAACCAACTCTGATGTCAAAATTTTCTAACACAAAACTTGTGGTTCTAGCAGGTTCTACCTCATTGTTCTTCATCTGAATCTTCACCTGGATGCCTTCTGATCATTCAGAGATCAGCTCAAGTGCCCCTTCCTGAGTAGGCCACCTTGCCCATCCTATCCCTTGTTGCTCAGTACTCCACTGCAGCCTGTCACTAGATCCTCTTCTAGTTCTTGTCACTGTTTGAACTCTGTCATTGTATCTCTCCCTAGCAGAATAAAACTCCCTGAAGGCCAGGTGTGTCTTCTTCACTACCTGGCTCCTGTTAGCTGATTGTCCACAGGAGGGATTCAATCCACATTTTTAGATGAATGATTGGTTGAATGACTTTGCTGTCTCCTTGTCACCAAGAAGCAGACAGTCCAAGGGACAATGGAGTTCAGCAGAGTCTTATGAGCCAAAACTAAGCCAGCAGCTGCATCCCCACCACTAACACTCTGCACCATAACTGAGGTGCCTGGAAATCCTTCCTCACCTCATGCAGCACTCCCAACACGTCCTCCTGATCTTCACAACTTGCTAGAGAGATATAAACCAGGAGAGGAAGAAGTCTGTAACAGACTGAAAGGGAGGGAAGAATGACAGGAAATGATAGGAACTGAGAACCCCGCAGCTGGAGGGTAGAAACCAAAGAGGACCAAGAGGAGAACTGACAGAGCAGGCCATAGCATGGAGAGAGAGAGAGAGAGAGAGAGAGAGAGAGAGAGAGAGAGAGAGAGAGGAGAGAGAGAGAGAGAAACAGAGAGAGATCGGGATCTAAATGACTACTCACAGAAGAAAAAGAGACATTCTTTGTCAAAAAAAGGCAGGCTATGTGCCCACAGTGTATGGGCCCACTGTGGGACATCTCACCTGCCCAGGCCCCACCCTTATGATGTAGGAGAATTCGATTACCTACCTGCTCTGGCTTCAGGTGGGCAGCTACTTCTCTACCCAACCCAGCAGCAGCAGCAGCAAAAGCCTCATTTTCAGGGCTGGACTCCAGGCTGACCAGTAAGCACCGTGTCAGAGGCCTTCCGCAGGGGGCCGCTGACACCCAGGATGGGGTAGGAGCGGTTGTGGTAGGGCAGGGCAAAGAGGAGCGTATCATAGGGCAGGAAGACCAGCCTTCCATCTGCCAGGCCCTGGGCATCAGCGTGGCCCAGCAGGGCAGTCTCCAAGCCCCCCGCAATGCAGAGTGCATGCACAGCACCACAACTGGAAGAGGGACAACAGGATCATCGTTGAGGGCCCAGGGCTCTGTGGCCTTCCCTGAAGCCCAGGGCCCTGTGGTTCTGGACAGCTGCTCAAAACTCTGCTGCCACATCCCACTCCAGCCCTCCCCCACTGGAACTCTGCTTCCCCTAAACAACCACATTTCCCTGAAAATAAGACCTGGCCAGAAAATAATTAGCCTTGAAAACTAGACATCAAACATACCAGCCCAATGAGCCTCTCCTTGCCTTACCTGCCATACAGAGTGGTCACCAAACAAGAGAATAGGGATGGCAGGTAAGGCAGTGGTAGGCTGCAGCTGGCATTTTTGATTTCTGGTTTCAAGGTTTATTATTTTCTAGTTAGGTCTTATTGTCAAGGGAGTGGGTAGCTATAGACAAGACCACCAAATGTGGGTTCCCCTGGTGAAAAGAGTACCCTCAAACAAGAAAGGATTTGTATTACTCCAGCCATCTGGCCATCCTCCCCAGCGTGCTCACCCAGTGATTTCACCCAGCTTCCCAACCTACCAAAACCCAGTGGTCTGACAATTGCTATTATGTATTTACAGCTTTCTGTGCGGTGTTGTCCTAAAGTGCCTTTACATGTAGTCATTCAATACTGCAGCAGGCCTAAGGAGTATGTTTATCTCTATCTCCTCTTGCAGATGAAGAAACTGAAGCACAGAGAAATGAGGGAGTTGCCCCAGAATACTTAGCCATCGAGCAATAGAGCCAGCCCTTGAACCTAGAGCTGACTTCCAGCTTATAAACCTTAAATTAAAAAACTTAAGATGCTTTCTCTACCACAACATCCACCCCTTTAAAAGTTCACAATTCAGTGGCTTTAGCCTATTCACAAGGTTGTACAACCATTGCCATTGTTTAACTTGACAATATGTTTATCATCCCCATTTGTAGTCACTCCTTATTTCTTCCTCCTATCTACCATTTGTCTCCATGGATTTGTTATTCTGGACATTTCATCTACAGGGCTTATACCATATGCAATCCTTTATGTTTGGCATCTTTTAGGTAGCATATGTTTTCCAGGCTTGTCTTTGTGCTGGTATGTGTCAGTACTTCATTCATTTTATGGCTGCATAATAATCCACTGAGTGATTGCTTGGGATTCCTCATCAGCTTGGGAACTTAACTGCTTGGGACCCTAACTGCTTGGGACCCTAACTGCTTGGGACCTCATCAGCTTGGGACCCTAACTGCGGCTGTGGGTGGCATCCTCAAGGTCTAAGCAGATATGGAAACATCCACCATTGCCTCAGTAGAAGAAACAGTCACTGGTAGTAAGGTAGCCAGTTGCCTCCCTAGGCATTAGGACAGAAGGGAGCCCTGACAAGGTATGAGTCCACACCAGACTTCCCCTGTCCCTGACCATGGGCACAACCCCAGTGAAAAATGGCCACCACTTGTCTGGATGTGCCCCAGGTTTCTGCTGCAACCTCTTTTCCCAGAAAACCCCAGAAAATGGAGCCACAAAGAAAAGTTAGGGTTCTCCTCAGTAGGCCTGAGGATTCACATGGAAGTCAGAGCCTAAAGCTCTGGCAACAGCTGAGCCTCTAGGATTGGTGACTTGCCTGAGGACCAACAGTGCAGTTCCTACAATCTGACTTGAGAGCATGTGACCCTCATACTCTGCCTCCTGGCTCCTGAATGCCAGCACCAAGGCTGGAACTCAGTCCCCCACAACAGGGGTGGGGAAGGAGTCTAATGGTTTCCTCACCTGCTGCCAACCTGTCCCAGCCACTCAGAACTGAACCAATCCCCTTTCTCCCAGACTTGTGAATGTGTTACCTCCACACCAGCTGATCCTTCTGCCCAGAATACCTTTCCCTCTCACCTCTATCTGTAGGCAGCTTCTCCTGCCTACACTCATTGCCAGGCCCAGCCCTAACGTCACCTGCTCTGTGTAACTCTCCTCACTCCCAGGCAGGTGAGCTGCTGAGCCCTTGGACTGCTCTGTGCAGTTTATGCGCCTGTTTCTCCACCAGACTCAGCTCCTCACAGCTGGGGCCGGGCCAGCTCCTCCTCACGTTCCTAGGGCCTAGCTGCGTCAGGATATATTTTGCCTGGATACATTCACACATCTGAGTATGTAAAACTTGAGTTCACTGGAAAATGCTTCACAGGCCCCCACTAATCCTTGCTCCTGCAGGGCACTTTCAGGTGGAACACATTTTCATTCTGTTGCATTCTGTTCTACTTTATTATACCTGACTCTATTTTTCTCTTTTTCTGTTCCACCCACTTTCTTTTTTATAATGTGAGTCATGATTCACTAAATTGATTTCCTGACCTACATGGGCCACAACCAGAAGACACCCAGTGTAGCTTTGCCTAAGATCCATCTGCTGTCCCCTCTACCATCCAGTATGTCTTCCCGGTTGGTTACTTCCCTAGTGAGGCCAGTGTCTCCTACTCTGAGTATCGTCCTCATCTCCGCTCCTTTGCTCTGCAGGCCTCTGGTTCTTGGGATGGCCCTGCCATCTCTGTTATACCACCTGTTCACACGCCTGTCTCCCTGTTGCATAGCTGTCCCCTGGACATCGCCACCATGTCTGTCTTCTTCACTGCTGTGACTCAGCACCAGTACCACAGAGCTTGGTAAACAAAGGAAATAATGGGTCAATCAGTGAATCTGTGGAGGTTAGGACTGACCACAAAACCAAGACTGGCTCTGACTCCCATCCTGGGCTCAGGTGCTGCTGCACTCGTGTCGTTCATTTCACCACCCAAGAGCCAAGGATGCCCTTTCTCCCAGTCCACAACCAACACTTGAATTAGAGCCCCAAATCCAGATGCACGACCTGCCGGCTGTGTGATGTGGGCAGATCACACATGTCCTCTGGGCTAGTGAGTGGAGACTTCAGTGAGACTAGCTCTGGACTAGCAGTTTTCAAGTGCTCAGCCCAGAGTCTGATGCAGAGGAAGCCCCCATCAGCGGCCGTGTGAAGTCCACCCTGCCCACAGCATGGAGGGGCCTGAGTATACTTACTTTTCAGGCCATCCATGCTGCAGAGCTGCTTTAAGACTTCTGGGGCCCCCTGATCCCCAGGTCCCAGAGAGGTCACCAGCCCCACAGGTAGCCCATGTGTCCTGATAGTTGCGGCCAGCTGCTGGGCTGTGGCCACCCAGATGCCCTGGTGGGAGGACACAATCTCTGAGTGAGCCCAGCCAAAGTGTCTCATGACAGACAGTAGCACATGGGCAGCAGAAGGCAAGCTGGGCACCAATTCACCTCCACCATCTGGAGCCTCACATGCCCAGGAGAAGAGGGTCTTGCCCCAGCTGTAAGCCAGTAGAGCTGCTGCTGGGTAGTAACCAGGATCGACAGGGCCCACAAAAGCAGCCACAGCGTTCTTGTGGGCTAGGAATGTGGCCAGGGCATGAGAGGTGTTGCAGCCTGTGGGGAGGACGCCAGACGCCAGCTGTGAGCCCAGTGACAATGAAGGGTCCTGGTTGACTCCATCTACAGCCAGCTGGGCAGCTACATTTGGGAGGGCCTGAGCAAAGGTGAGGTCACAGTCCCAGGGACCCAGCACCCCCACGGTGAAGGTCCCTGTTCCCAATACCAGATGGGGGAGGGACGCAGCCCATAGGAGGGCGCCACTAAACACCATCAAGAGAAGTGATAGGGAGGGGGCTGTCCCTGGTTGCCTGGGAGTGCGCCTCCGTGGGCACTGGCAGAGCAGGCAGGTCTTGTGTGGCAGCGTCCAGTTCCAGCCTTCAGGGCACAAGCCCACAAGCAGCCCTGGGAAAGGAGAATGTGGACAGGGTTTGCTTTCTAGCATGTTCTGCCAGCACTTCCTGTGTGGTTGTGAGGCAGACAGCCCCTCCCAGTAATGATGAAGTGAGAGACTTGGACCCATGATCTCCAAGGACTTCTCCCATGCACGTCTACCAAGTACTAGCTCCCAGCCTCCTGATGTTTAAAGTCCTGGGCTGGAGCTCAGTCTCTCAGCATGTGAACTGCAGGCACAGAACTGACCAGCCTCAACTCCGTGTTTCTGTCTGTGTGATCCTGGGCCAATGTCTAAAGCTTTCTGAACCTTATTTTCCTCCTCTGTAAAATCTGGGCTGTAAAAGCTACTTCCTATTATTATTGTGATGACTAAGTGACCTCACGTCTGGTACTTAAAATAAAGCCTACTTCTTCCTTCCTTCCTTCCTTCCTTTTTCTTTCTTTCTTTCTTTCTTTCTTTCTTTCTTTCTTTCTTTCTTTCTTTCTCTTTCTTTCTTTTTCTTTCTTTCTTTCTTTCTTCCTTCCTTCCTTTCTCTTTCTTTCTTTCTTTCTTTCTTTCTTTCTTTCTTCCTTCCTTCCTTTCTCTTTCTTTCTTTCTTTCTTTCTTTCTTTCTTTCTTCCTTCCTTC